TACCTTCCTGCAGAGTTCAGCTCCAACCCTGATCAAACACAACTGAACCAACTAATTAGGATCTGAAGGAGCACTTAATAATTACAGATAGGTGTGTTTGATCAGGGTTGGAACTGAACTCTGCAGGAAGGTAGATCTCCAGGAACAGGGTTGGGCACCCCTGATATAGAGAGCTGTAATATAGATCACGCTATCTCTTTCCGTTTGCTCTGTTACCAAACTTACCAAACTTAAAACTCATCTATACTGCTTTATTCATTCTTGAAGTAAACTTTTCCCCATTTAATAAACCACTCTTCGCTGTTTTACGTCTATCCAGTCTAAAATAAACAAATGATGATGTTAAAATTCAGTGAACCTGATTTAATAGCAGAAACCAAACAAGATCACATAGGCTGCGTTTACACTTGGCATTAACATGCGATCATCAATCAGGACACGGCGCGTTTACACTTGGCAGCATCTACTGACATCTGTATCTGGATAGCCGATCGGATCTGTCTTTCCCGTGCAATGTTTAGATTAAGTCTGCAGAGGATGGCCCCGGTGCAAAGTTGACCTGAAGCGGTGGGATTTCTTTTGAAAACCATTTTCAGTCACGGGACATTTTACAAATCAAAATAAGTGTACGAGTCTCACTAGTGCTCCATGGCCTGGTGTTCTCCATCTCTCTTCTGACAGAAGAGGGGGTGGGGTTTTGCGTGACATTGACCTGCGAATGCAGACATAATGGCTGGATTGCGTTTACATTACACTGAGATCCGATCACTTGTCTTTTCAATGTGTATGTGGACAACATCCGGATACAGGTCGCATGTTAATGCCAAGTGTAAACGCAGCCCTAGATGCAGCGCTGCGTTTTTGCCTGGTGTGCGACTGACATATTTCGTTATTTTGATTAGAGCATCATCAAGTGTTCTAGCATAGAAGCAGTTAAAGTGTGAGAGTATACATACAATATCCATATGTATGTAATTTCAATACAATGGCCTTTGTGTAGATATTTAAAGGTTTAAAGATCTTTAAGCATAACTTTGAAATGAAATGGTAACACTTTATAATAAGACTCTATTTGTAACATTAAGATGTTCTAGCATAGAAGCAGTTAAAGTGTGAGAGTATACATACAATATCCATATGTATGTAATTTCAATACAATGGCCTTTGTGTAGATATTTAAAGGTTTAAAGATCTTAAAGCATAACTTTGAAATGAAATGGTAACACTTTATAATAAGACTCTACTTGTAACATTAAGATGAATGAAAGCGGTATAATTATTGTTCCTCGTTAGAGTTTCAACATTTACTATTACTAATACATTTTTACATTTGTAAAGTTTCTTCTGTTAACATTAGTTAATAAACTATGAACTAATTTTAATGATCAATATAATAATTAATATTAATATTTTTATTCATTTAAAAATGATGGTTCTGGTTCTGTCGACCTCTACTAGAAACTATTCTTTTTGTTGTTCCATCTCCTCTGTTTCTTTATTAACTGTAAAACAACAGCCCAGGCCAGTGTTTCTACTTTGAGGAAACTAATTAGTGCAAAAAAAAACAAAAAAAAAACAAGATGCATGTGACCATGTGGTTACAAAAATTGTGCATAAAGTGAGTGAACTATGCCAATGATGACATTTGTGTCACATGCACTTTACACATTCTCTTTCGTACATGTAAAAACCAAAGTATACTTTGGCCTTAATCTGCAGATATATGGCCATTAAAAAAAAAATTTATTTGCTAATCATGCAATTAAAAGAAGTATTCGCTATCCAAAAATAATTTAGTATTTAGCTACTGAAAATTTATCACACCTTGTCTGTAGGCTCTCCAGCTCTCAGCACCAGTATATCAGTATATAGATAGTATATATATAGATATAGATATCAGCACCAGTTTTTACAAAAACAATAATCATTGGGATGATAATTTTTCTGGGCTGTGTGAACATTTTTAGCATTTGATGACTGGCACAGTTAACTACTTACCTTTCTCTCTGGCTTCTCTGCGTCTTTTCTCCTCCAAGTCAAGTTTGCTGACAGCTTGTCTGTTCTGCTGCAGGAACTCATCGTACACTAACATGGCATCTGGTGCAAGACGTGAATGCCCCTGGAGGCTCTTAAAACACCCGCTGGACTTCAGGCCTGCACTCAGCTCTCCATATGGCCCTGCCATACTCAGTGGTGCCCTCTGATGATTCAGGAAGCTATGGGTGGATTTTTCCAGCTCCACTAGGAAAGTGTTGGACTCAGAGAACCCACTGGGCTGGATGGGAGGATATTTATCCAGACTGTCCCTTTTCCGAAATCCCTCTTCCAGCTTTTCAAAGTTGTAATGGCGTTCATGTTTGGAGGGGGGTAGGGAAAGCCGACTAACATCATAGTGACCCAGACTCTGGGGCTCATGCAAGGTGCGTCTAGAGTCGGTGGAGGTCTCGATAAGCGATGCAGGGTTCCAAAGTGTGGTTGGTGGTGGGGGAGCGTGGTCTTTGTGCTGGTGTTTTGGGGAGATGAGAGGGGGCGGAGCTCCCAGGAGAGGATGGGCATCTCTGTCTCTCTCACGATCTCTGCTGTTGGGCTCGTGATGGTCTGGTATAGGTCTAAAAGAGGAAATAAATTTCCCAGTCTTTGTTAGCTCTGACTTTTGCAATGAAACAAAACTGTCCCAAGGTTTTGCAACCTAAACTTAACTCATTTGTATCAGTACTTCGTACACTGTAGATGATGTTAACATGTGAGTCACTCTTTGAAGTCAACTGGATTCAAACCAATTCTGACACCCCAACCAAAAACACTAGACTCGAAACAAGGACTCAGCAATTTTATTCCATCCCCAACCATTCCAACAGTTTTCACCTGATGTCCAATTGCTCCTGATTTAGATTTTATCACCACCCATACCTGCTTTTTCATGATCCAGCATTTCTATTTTTCCTAGATGACACCTGTTAATGCAGCTCAATAACTGAATTACTGTAATAATTAAAAAAAAATTAAGTGTGACCTCTTGTATATTGTAGGCTGAATTTTTGTCATTAAAGAACACATATGTTGTCGGCGCTGATAGCCTTGTGGGCAGCGCGCTGACAGCGCTGTTGCACTACGGGCGTCCCGAGTTCAAATCCTCACTTGAGGACCTTTACCGATCCCAACCCCTATCTCTCTCCCACTTTGCTTCCTGTCAGTTCTGATCTGTCTTGTCCACAGCGCACCATTCCACACACTCTAGACAGTAATGGCGGCGCTTTGAATACACCCGGCATCCTAGTTATCCTCATCTATTTTGTACTTTGTGATCAACGAACAAACTTAGGGCTGCACGATAAATCGCATGTGATTGTCATGTTGAAACAGAAAATAGTGTTTTTTTTTACTCAAATTAATCAAAATGGATTTATAGCGTTTTGGAACCAAACTCTTCAAATATATGTTTAAAGTTCAGGGAATGCAGACATCTGTGTGACAACATCCAGTGTGAAAATGCCCTTACCTGTGTCCCTCTATATGCAGGTCTGCAATTTCCCCCTGTCTGCCCAGGTCCAGGTGCTGCTCTAGGACCTGCTGACGGAACTCTGAAACCTGGTACTGCCTGTCCTCTTTCTCTTGCCTTAGCTTCCGTTGCCGGGCCAACCAGCGCTCTTCCTCATTTGTGCGCTGCAGCATGGTGGCCGCTGTCAGACTGGCAGGTCCCACCCCTCCAGGGCCCAGATACATGCCATGAGCAGAGACAAGGCTGGGCACGGGGTGATGGGTGGAGTTTAGAGAATGGTGAAGTCCAGGCTGGATTGGTTTAGAGGTTGCAAGGATGGGCTCTTTGGTTTTATCTGGGGGAAATTATAGGCATAATGTTTAGCTGCACAGAATGATGGGTCACACAGGTTAAAGATTATATAAAGTGCAGTGAAATGTGATGCTCGAGGCCAAATTAGATTTGAACTGATTGGTTTTTGTGTTAAAGTGGTAATGAAATGTGCATGTGTTTGGCATTGGTAATGGTCAAATATATTAGAAAACCAGTTTTGCGAAAATATATTTGTCATATCTGTGGTTTAAACAACTTTTTTGAATAAGATTTTAGGCAATTTCTATCTAGCCATCTAGCTAGCAAGCCACCATGTCGGCATGACATAGTTGTCTATATAAGTGTGTTGGCTGACTCCGTTGAAAACAGACGAAGCAACTTTAGGTTTCAATCACCGTACTAGTATCTATTTTAATGTTTCTAGTACTTATTTTTTAGATACTAGTATCTTTTTCATTAAGTACTAGTACTTATTCATTAGCTACTAGTGCTTATTCTTTAGGTACTAGTGTCTTTTGTAAAGTTACTAGTACTTATTCATTAGATACTAGTTCTTATTTATTAGATTCTAGAACTTATTCCAATAGTGACTAGTATTTAAATATAATTTTCTTGTTAAGAAAACCATATTATGAGGAAACCGCATAGAAAAGAAATGATAATTTGTAAACAAACACATAGAAAACACATTTTTGTCAGTAATGTAAACACTATAATTTTGTAAACAGTAGCCTAATTTGTGTGTTGGTCATTGTATGAGTGACCTCAGGTGGCAGGATGGAAATAAGACACCTATTTTATTACTTATTATTTTCCTCTTTTTCCTCCAGTGAAAAAAATAAATATCATATCAGGGCTGTACGTTAACTTTTTCGCATATAGCACTGGTGCTACATACGTTGAATATCTTTACATTAATGTTCTGTACAGGGCACACAAAATCCATTCCTTACAGTTTTCAGACAAACATTTTCTTTATTTGAAAGAAAAAAAAAAAAAAAAAAAAAAAGGCAAAAAAT